TACTGCAAGACAGAACGATCATCCTCGGCGCCGTGATGTTCCTCCTCATCTGTCACATCACTCGAAATCTCCTGACCCGGTTGGCCGGGGAGCTGCTCTTGTGCATCAAAGATTTGATCTTTAAGATCGCGCTGGCGGGCCGATGAGTCTTGACTGGACCCCGCACAAAATTTTACCGCCCCTGCTATGTCCAGGCCGACCCTGCTCGGCCGCACTTGGCTTCAACCTGACATTGCCCAAACGCCCCTCGCCTCTCTGGTAATTCTGCCCCCTCTCCAGGAGTAGAGGCGACCTCACATTTCTGCGGAAAACACCTAGGAAACGAGCAAGTGTGGGGTTGAGATGTCCGAGTAGAACCTGCACGGCTTCCACGTGATCACTAAGTGAGGTGGGAGCGGTTGGATCAGGTCTGACAGCCGTGGTGCGGCCAATACACGTTTCAGGTCTTTCGTGTGATCATGGAGCTCCACCACGCCACCTCGCAATCTGCTAGTGCTACCTTTTATCAGAGGCCGACAGCCCTGAACACGCGGTGATGGCCCTTTAACACAGCCCAGTCAATGATCATAAGCCCATCTTAGTGCGAGCTCAGCGAGGGAGGAGGCGAACAGAGAAGATGATCGGCTGCGCATCTCCTTCTAGTGCAGTTCCACGGCGATGGGAGTATAACGATACGGACCAGTTCGAAGCGCAGTGCGAAAAGAGGAGACCTGCCGAAACCTTTCCGTAAGATGACATTGACCATAGGTGAAGTAGGAATGATTACAATTAGAAAGCGCACGTTGGATTTTGCTTGAAAACCTCTGGCAGAGACCAAAATTAATGAGCTAATTTACTTTGCAGACAGATCGTAACTCCGGGGCAATATATCAAGGAGACAGATAATACAAACGCGCGTCAGCCCGTGCCGCCGACCCCTTTTTTCACCAATGTGAGCGTTGGTTGCCCGACACGAGGGTCAGTCCACTTGGGTCGGGGAGGAACTCGTGCTTTCGCTTTCCGCCCATACCTCGTTTTTCCAGTTGAAATTGTCCCATTTCTCCCACGAAAATGACTCCCAGCGACTCAGGTCGACGCTCGGCTCGAGCCACGCCGGTGTCGGCCCACCGTTCGGTACACCGCGCGGGGATCTCTTCTTCGGTCGCCGCAAATGGACGAGGCCCATCTCGTGGACCGTGGCTGGGCTCTTCTGCCGAGTCGGCGAGTGAGCAAGTGTCGTATAAGGAGGTTTCGAAGCGCCTCGGGGTCCCTGCTTACCTGTGACACCGGTCCGTGCTTGGGGTTTGCTCGAAAGTGCCATGCTTCAGCTCCCCGCCGAACGATCACCTCAACCTCCGCCCCGTGATTCTCAAGGAGCAGGAGGGACTTTCTGCACGTGGCCAGCACGCGCCGTTGGAAGACGGGCTCTCCCGGGGCGAAAAGCGAGTCGGCTGCGCCCATGGTACCAGACGCAGGGGCGAATATCCGAATCGTTGCGGAGAAGGTAGACTGTAAAATGAATGGACAGACCAGCACGAGGTCACTCGATGAATATTGGCAAGACCAGCTCCCAATATCTCGGCTGCATGATATTTCGACGATTTCTGCGCCGGCAGGGTCACAAATGCGAAATATCGTTCATTTATAGGCGATGTCCCCCGTACGGTGCATCCGCGCTCTCAGGTCGCACGGCACTCCGTCCAGTCGCACAACATCGAGGAGAGCGTCACATGGCGTCTCTGGCCATCGGGTGGCTGCCTGCGTCAAACGTCGACCTCTTTTGGACCAATGATGATATTCTTCCAGGCTTGATGGGACGGGCTCCCTACTGGACGCCTTCTCGACCAAACAGGGGGTCTCATCTCAACCAATGGAGGCGGCATCGAGCTCATCCAATAGCTCTGACCGAGGGGCGTGTCCACATAGACCAATGCTGGATCCCAAATTCATGTCCTCGAATTTGGAGACATCCAAACGATGTCCCTGCGGACCTCCATTCTTTTAGCACGTTTGCAATCGCCTGAGTACACCTGCCCTCCAATTGATGGTTCCCGTAATTTACCTGGCCAATGACCCATCTAGCCACCATCACCCCAAAATCCAAAACGACCTCAACCTATCCGAGTCGATCAGAGGGCTTCGACACGCAGTGCTTGGGCACATTCCGGCACGCCTTCCTCTTGAGCCTCCCTTTACCTTTCGTTGCCGGGCGCTTGATTTGGTCACATTCTGTCCGGTTCTGATTTTCCACGGGAGGGCCATGAACCAATCGATTGGCCTCTCCACACCCCAACTCTGAACGACCCTTTACCAATTCTCAGCCTGAAGGGTCCGATCAAGCACTCTTGGAAGTCCGGGAAAATACCCAGGACTTCGATATACATTTCAAAGACTGGGACCGGCTTTTGTTCTAATGAGAATCTTCGCTCTAAAATCTAACTTAAGGACAAGAGTCCAGGCGAGGAGCCTTTTTAGACGACCTTATTCATACTGTAGCCATCTGACCGCGTGGTTCACATTAGATATGTATCACAAGAGACGCCCTATCCCTCAAAAACGTGGCTCTTGACCTGTACCCAAATGAGAACAATCGCTCAAGACGCTCCGGTTCCTTCAGGTAACTATCCAAGAGTCGGGAGAATATTAAAGGAGGCAGGAAGAATACCTTTTTTATAGGACGGGCTCTTACAGTACATTACAGGCGTTTTCAATCGCGGCTTCGGACTTGCATATCACTTGAAATTATTTTAAGCTCCACATTTCGATCCACCCATACCCACGGGAGCCTATATTAGGTAAAGCGTAAATGCATGATTTACCAATCGGCACACCAGATGCCGAAGACGCTTTACGGATTTTACCAACTGTTTAATAGTGGCAAGAATTTATAATTATGACGTAGCCAGCAATTGAAAGTCTCTGTACATCGGGATCAAACGAAGTCGCTTTTCGCTGTTGGCAGATGGCATTGTAAAGGTTTAGTCGACGATAGAGGCCCAAGGGCGATCCGTTTGTGGCTCTGTTTCTCTTTGTTCCATCGCGACGTACTGTAATTACCTATTCCTAAGATTGAAAGGACTGAGCGATTCATGATCAACTCAATCTCCGGCTTTCAAGTCCATGGGAGAGCGGCGTCCGGTGTGAGAACGTGAAAGGGTTTGGTGCGTAGGCTTGAAAATCGTCGCCGGAAGTTTGGGTGCAGGAAATCAAAACTGCTTCAGAACTCGATTCTGCTCGCTACCTCCTAGTTCGCTCAAAATAGATCGTACAAGAAAATAGCGTCAACAGTCAACATACTGGACAAAACGCTTCCAATCTTTGATGCCTGAAGTTCGCGCCCAGCTTGTGATCGTGGTTGAAGCCAGGATGGGGTGCTAACTAAGTTCACAGGTACTGTAAACTACCCAATCCAAATAGATTTCTACAGTAAATTATTCCTCAGTCTTTTGGCATTTTTCTTCGAGAAGGGTTGGTCACATTTTGGGAGCTGCAGAGGTGATTGCTCCATGAAGAAGGGGTTTCGACTGAGGTAAACTATAAATGGACAGAGTGTAGGGGCCATCATCCTAATATTTAAGTCAAATTTTCCCTTCCGGGGGATGCGAGAACGGTCAGTGCGTCATTATCCATGTCTGAATCCGGCTGCATTTTGCACCCATCCCTCTTGCGCCGTCTTCCTTCCATCACTACCACCTCTCACTGCCTCCAAATCCCTGCCCGATGTTTCTGGTCGGTGTGGTGTGTTTCTCGACCGGACGTGGCCCCAGGGAGACGCCTCCCCGATGCAGTATATTTGGATTCCATCTCCGAGCCCCCAAGTGGACGGGTCGTCGAGCACAGCGTCACGACAGACATCATGTCTTACCTTCCATCGAGGAGCCGTGTGCCGAGCCAGCGAGCAGGAAACATTGCCGCAACACGGGGAAGCTTCTCACCCTCGGTGGGCTCCACGCACGATTCCCCCCGGATGCGTCTCGCGTTGATCTCCACAGCGTCATCGTTGGCATCCGAGAAGGGCTAAGTGAGCGTGAAGCTCGACGGAGGCGATCCACGTCCCCGTCCGTGGCCTCGACCCTCCGGGAAAGAGCGCACCATTTGGACGACGGTGAGCCTGTCCTCGGCCGTCGATAGAAACAGGGGGAAGAAAGCGGTGCAGATGTTCCCGAGCCTTGCCCCCTGCTGCGGACACCTCGAACGCCGTATGTCGATTGGGAAAAGGCCACTCTGTCAGGAGCCGCGTTGCTGAGATTCACAATAGTCCGTTCAACGAAACCGCAGTTGAGCGCGCAAAAGTGGTGTTCCATCACACCCTAACCGAGCTGCCGCCCTAGCGTAAGACTCTAATTCGGCATCCCATCAGTTAGTCTTTGAGCTTTACAGAAAACTCGGAAGGGTTTCAAAATTAAATTGTGATTGTAGAAATCTCCTTTTGCTACCGTAAGTTTCAGACGGTCGAGACGACTGCTGAATCCGATACTTTGACCAAGCGTCAATTTCGAGCCATTTTAAGCCATTCGTTTGTCGCTGGTCGACTTTTCCCCCTTCCATCCACAAAGTACTCTGCGCCGTGTTCCGTCCTGACTTCACATTGTTACTGTCAACACCTCCCTAGATTGGTCACACCACCAGTCTTGTCGCCGTGCTCTCGCCACGAGTCAAGCCTCTGGCGAGAGTGATGTGGCGGCTCTACGTCCGACGATGCCTGCAGATTCTATGGATGACCCTCGCCCTGTCTTCCCCAACCGTGGATGCGTTTTTCCGGAACCTTTGTCTCGGGTTCTTGGCGACCGCACGCATCGACCCGATTGTGTCGCCCGGCCAGGTCGCCCAGCATGCCCATTTCCTCCACGGGGGGTCGAGTGAGTCAGATGTGGACTGCAGGCACACTCCCAACGACGGGTGACGTCGAGAGATAACGGGTTGCAGATCTGGGGCTCAATTCGTCGAGCCGTGACCTGCTTCAATCGGCCTGCACCAACTGCTTGGTGGAGCAAGACAGGTCGGCGTACTGGGTCCCCGCCATGTACTTCCAGCACCAGAACGGCTCCTTCACGGCCGTGGCAGCCCCCGGAGGGTTGACGGTGTGAGTGATGCCGTTCCCTCATCCCCCAGGCTTGGCTCATGACCCGGACTATGAACTAGATATTACAAGCTCGAGAAACGGGTGGGGGCACTGGACCAGTCCTATGCCATGTTCCCTCAGGGTTTGCGGATGGTGGCCGGCCGCTCGGAGAAGCGCGCCTGGAACGGGCCTTTTCCTGTCCCCCCTCGATCGCAATGGAGTGAAGCTGACATGACGCAGGAATCTCTCGCCGAGAAGGCTATCGGGTTCAACTGCCTACATTACGACGCGGGGTGGAATGAGGGCACGTTCAACGTCAGCTACCTCCGCGAGAAGGCCTTCGTCGACGCGTACTGTGTGGACGGGCTCCGCGCCGAGATCCTCTTCCCTTCCTGCTGGGACGGCGTCCACCTGGATGCTCCCGACCACCGAAGCCACGTCCTGTATCCTGATCATCTGGAAAGTGGCTTGTGTCCGCCGTCCCACCCCATCTACTTTCCCATCATCTCCTACGAGGTCGTGTGGGGAACCCCCGACTTTCGACACGCCGCCGGACAATTTGTGATGTCCAACGGGGACCCCACGGGCTTTGGGTACCACGGGGACTTCATGGCCGCGTGGGAGGAGGGCCGGCTCGACCTGGCGGCGGCGGACTCGACGTGCACCGACCAGGACGTCGCGAACCCTGCCACTGACGGCGACGTCCACAAATGTTCGAGCTTTGTGGTGCAGCGCGACGAAGACGCCAGGTCTTGTAAACTCCATGTCTCCCAGCCGGTTCAAACGGATCCAGTCGAGGGCCTTCTCCTTTCTCTTCCCGGTAATGTCTCAGTCACCGGGGTTCGTCATGATCCCTGGCCGCGATGAAACGTCGCATCTGCCCGATGGTGAACCGAGACGGCCCGGGTACGGGTTGCTGGCGGCGCACTCTGCGAGTGGAGAATCTCCGAGCGTTATGTAGACAGATACTGTAGATTAGACAATAAAAAGGTTGCAATGAGAGCTCGCACCTGGGCATCCCCGCACATTAGCGGAACATCCTGGGCCCGTCATGATCTGAGGTGAACGAAATCTACCAAACCTCTAATCGACAGAATAATTTACAGTGCAAGGCCACAAAACAGGCCGCACAGACGAGCACCGAGGGGTGCCAGTTGCTTGTCTCCCAAAAGTGGCTGGCTCCATTCCCGTTCATTGACATTTGGCTTGGTGAACCGCCACCGCCGACCCAGGTGGCGCTTCCCAGTAACTTCTGGCGTCCTTCCACCAGCCACCTTCCCACGTGTCTTCTGCTCTGCCTAAAGAGGCTTCAGATGCTGTGATTACTGTATGTTGATTTGCTATGGTAGCCTGTACATACTGTACTGTAACGTTACCACCTTCGATGTCAGAAAAGACAAGAGCACAGCCTAGTGACTGATTATGGCACGATCTCACAGGTGAACCGAAATCGAGGAAGCAGCAATTCAGAGCGTCCGTAAGAAATTTTGGCGCAAGGATGACACCAAAAGCGAAGTCCTCGGCCCGGAAACCTGATCGGATGCCGCGTTTCGCAGATTCTGAAAGTAAAGCCTCGGATGTCACCGACCGTCGAACCGTAAACTCTTCTCCTCGGCCCCGAAACCTGTGCTTCACTCTTTCTCGCATACCGCAGAAAGCGTGCATAGTGCGTCATGTCGGACGGGTCTCTGTTTTGGGCTTCCACAATTCCTACTCCCCGACATCTGAGTGCGTAATCCGGACTACTGTAACGACCCCGACCGATCCATTTGCGTGTGCAACATCGCCTTGGGGAGGTCGACGGTCGAGAAGGGAAGTGGAAAGATTGGAATGCAAACAGGAGGCTCACGTCAACGCGCCCCCCTTGAAACCTGGCGATGCGACCATTGACATCCTCCTCCACTCATTTTCCCCCGAACCCGTTTTCTCGCCCATCATCACATTCAGGTTTACCGGATCGACAGCTTTCCAATCCTTTCTCCGGCAAGGCCCGCGGCGTTGCTAGGTCAAAGGAACACGCATGAGGATTAAAAGGAACCGCGACGTGCCTCTATTTCCCTGTCTCCTCGCAAATCACGCCTCCCCCGCCAGACTTTGTACAGGCCTTCGACACTTCTGCCAGGTCCCCAAGCAGCTCGGAAGCATCACACCGCCCCAGCTAGCGCTCCTACAATTTCCCAGGTTGATCCAACGAAGATGGTTTAGCGGCTGTTCCGCCTCGTAAAGATGCGTTTTCGAGCTCTCCCCAGCATGGGAGCACCACGGTCGGACGTAACGGAGACACCGGCTCGAGAGTGCGAGTCCTGCAACATCGAGGTGAAGGATCCTACGACACCACATCCAGCCCACTTCAAAACCCGTATGCCGCAACCAACCACTGGGCTATCCGAAATCGACCGTTTGTCATGGAGGGAAAAACAGGGTGAGGTGAGGGCGGGTTTTGGCAATGTTGACGAAGGTCCTTGTGGAGGCGGGATCACAAGGGCCGCGGTCTTGGAGGCGTTGCTCGTCGAGGAACGGGAAATTCCTCGTTACGCCGAGCGCCGAGCGCGCCAGGCCGGGGAAGCTGCTGCTACCGCAGCAGACCGGTTCATGCATACGACTGACGAACGGCGTAGAGAATCCTCTCCCGTAGCCAGGGGCAGGAGCCTCCGGCGTGCAGAATGCCCTGGCGCTTCGCGCAGGGCCCGGGATGATCGCGCGCGTCTTGCGCCAAAGCGTGGGGTGTAGGGCTGGACATCAGATTCGGCGCAACACTGGCCGCGCCCGGTGGCACCGGCGGTGTAGGGTTCAATGGGTTAATGGCAACACCAGAATACGGAGATTTTGAAGCTGGAATGCTGTACATGTGTAGCCCTGAAGCTCAGCGGATACCCTCTATCCGTCCACCATCGTGACCACAACATGCAGGACTGTGTTTCGCAGACCTCCGTTCGAGTGGCCACATTAGTGGTGAGGTTCCCTAGTTCTGCCCATGTCACGTGTTCCGTTTGCGGAAAGAGGGTGTCGAAGGCTAGGCGCGACCAATCACTCTCCGTGTTCGCTGGGTGGCGGAATTTTCGACCTAGCCGCGATTGCCAGACAGGGACGATACCGCGCCCGGACCGCCGCTGACAATGGTAAATTGCATTTGCGCTCGGTCGAATCGGAATCGACCTCGCCACCGCGCGAGTCTTCCCTTACCTAGAAATTAGATTCTTTATTTCCGAACCCGCCATGGGTGGATACAGTACAGTAGAAACACGATCGATGTGAGAATCTTAAAAGGACAAAAGGTAGTGGAAGATTTTGCGACGCATCCTGGGAAAAGTACAGTAATGTGCGAAATTGTTGTCCTAAAGATGCACATAGAAATCTCAAAATGGCAACCCTCCGCCTCCTTATTCGACCAATAGGATTGCTGACAGAGTAGGGCTGAAATATGCCTTACTCATCAGACATTGAATATTCTTGTCATTTGAAGCCCAATTATTTTACTGCGTGGTCAGCAAAATGAGCCATCACCCCGCTTGCATCACCCCGCACTGCGACTATCTTCCTTCACATCTACACACTCGATCGATCCAAAAGGGGCAACATCTATTATCGCAAGCAAGACGTAAAAAGATGTGCGAGATTCAGACTAAGACGTATCGTAATTGTAGAGTCACTCCTCAACATCGGAAACGCGGTCTGTACCTCCGAGTCCCTTGATATTCAAGACACCAATCTACCGGGAGACTGCCCGATCTGTACCGGAGACACCCCGGCTAATTCCTCAGATTGACGTCGGTCAGTGCCCCATGGAACGTCCTGGCAACGAGAGCGAGCATATTCGCATGCCTCTTTGCTGAGTTGGCTAAAATGACTAATAATAATTAAAGGCGCATTTCTTGCAGGATGGGGAACATACAACTTGTTATTCCTTTTGACCTTGAAAGCTTCATATTTAATGTCTCTGAGTTGAACTGTTGGGACCGTGATGCAATGTAAATCAAGGATGATATACATTCTAGAGGATTCGTTTGGAGCCATCAGATGGGAATAGAAATCATCAGCAGGTTTTAGGCCGAACTCTGTGAAAAATGTCTCGATGATAGTTGCTTCTTCAAGCTCGTAATCCACACCAAAACGAAGAACAATTCGCCTTGGAATCTGATGCGTCATTGCTATTAGAGGACGTGTGTGAACTGAGAAAAAATGCTCAGAAAAACTGCTTTATCTGCGCCAGACCTACTCACAAATGACAGCGAGCCTGGTCGACGTTGATAATTGGAAGGAGCTGTTGATGTTTTGTGTGAATATCACGTGGGAGAAATGATCTGGGGCCTGATCAAATGACAGCCTCGGTGGATGTTTGGTATTCTTCAATACTATAATTTAGGTGGAGCAGGACCGCTACGCTTAACTATTTATGGTTAGCGTGTCTACCGCTCTGGATTTGATCGGCTTGTTCTGACATTATTTTTTTGGCTGGCCAAATAGGACACTGAAATCGCACGTGTGTGTATCATAGATGTACATGTGGCGAGGTCTGGAAAAACATGCTAGGTATTTGAACCACGCTAAATAAAACCTACTTAAGCAAGGTGGTACGGTCAGAGATCCAGTTTTGAGCATCAGTATAGTCCCCCGGCCCGTGACCACGTCCTTTGTACCAGGACCATGGCTGATTTCATTTTCGCATGTGTGGGCTGTGGAAAACAAGTGAGAGTGAAAAAGACTGGGGAGATAGTGGATGGAGAGTGGAAGAGGATTTGGCGGGATCTGTTCTCACTCGATTACGTGCGCCCCAGCATGGGCGAGCCCAGGATCGTGGACTACGTGGTCACCGACGGATGCCTGGGTGGGAATAAGTCTCTATCGCAGGGCGCTAAGCCCGAGACCCTGAGGGTGTCCAAGCATATCACGAAGTCCACTTCCATTGAGGACCTCGTGGACTTGGTGAATGGAGAGATTGGAAAGCTGGCCAAGGAAAGGCTGCACGAGACCAAAGTCTACGCGGCAGCATTCGGCGTATTCTAGATTCTGGGGGTGGTGGGCTTCACAATAGATATTACGGGCCGTCTTCGACTCGTTCCGAACCTCTAAACGCTGCGAAGTCTTCGAAGGCATGCGCTGGATCTTCCGGCCTCGGTCCCATCGCGCCCACAAAAGTTGGATGGACACCACACAGGAAGTACCTTCGCTCTCGGTGACCATTGGACTACCTCCGAAATGTTCTGAGACCGGCGTACGGAGTACGGAGGACGAGGTAGACGTCAATGGCGAGGACGAGTTAGATCAAAGGTCACGTGATCACACCAATCGGGTTGACACTTCGTAGGACAACTTGATTCGTCCATTTTCAATCAATTGCTACCGCACTAGATCTCTCCATCCTCCCGAAGGACACCCCGCTGCCAATGTGCTTTTTCCCGACCCCGCCGTTATTCCTGAATCCCATCGAAGATCCATGCTGCGATTTCTCATATCTTCCATTTCAAGACCCAAAAGGTCGAATCTGAATCGACTGACGTAGGGATAGGGACAAGTCATTCACGGCACAACACTCGGTCATATCTATCAAAACATGCAAGGCACCTCGATGGCGAACCGGAGGGACGACTTTGCCCCGCTCAGCCCACCAGGCACTCCATCTAGAAGTAAACGAGTGCCGATACCGCCCACCTCTACCCTAGGACTTCCTAATGACCTGACGCGGTACCGTAGTGAAAGAGGCCAAAAGGAATGGGACGTTCGGCCTCCGCGGTCCAAGCAGGACCAAAACAGGTCACCTCGCGACTTGAGAATATCCTTCATTCAGTCTCCCGAGAAAGGCACTATCAGATTGCCTCCGCTGAAGAGCTCCCCTTCGGAGAACTCACAAGCTCTACCGTCAATACGAGACTTGACATTACGGACCTTTGACGAGTCTATTGACTTCGCAGGGCTGCGCTCGATGCCAGATCGCCCTTCTATCCACACAGTCCACACGTCGACGCGATTTCTTCAATCTCCAACCTCCGGCGCGTTGCTTCATGAACACCCCTCGAGACATAGTCGACAGTCATCAGCTCCAGATGCTTCTTTTTCGACATCCTCTGAATACACGTCCGTCCCTTCTGTCGCAGGGTCCACGCCAGGATCCTGTGCCACCCCCACACCATCCTGCTCGACTTCTCTGCCTACCCTGCCAGAGGAGGAACCACTGGGGGAACAAGCCTTGCCTTGTCTGCCCACAGGCACATTCAGATGTGCATGTGACGGCTGCAACGCAATCCCATGTCCAACTCAATGTATGTTGAGCAGTCAATTGAATGTTCCATCCAATACACGTCCTCACTTTTGTTCAGTCGAAGGATGCTCCAGAGGTGTCGGTGGCCAAGGCTTCAAGAGGAGAAATGAACTGATCAGGTGTGCTTACCTCCCAAATCTCCACGTCGCTCTTGGTGTGGGAAATGTCTTACTGATATCGGAGTTTTCTCCCGCAGACATGGCCTTGTCCACAATTCGCCGGGGTACATTTGTCCTTTCTGTGCGAATCACCAATACAAATATCCCCGGCCGGATAATCTCCTGCGACATGTTCGTGCCCACCATAAGGATCGCGATCAAAATGACCCTGCGCTGAGGGATGTACTCAATCAAACGACGGGAAGGCCCCGACGGAGGAGACCGACTAGGATTCCGGGCCGGTCTACTGCTTCCGAGGGAGACGCCCACACGTGAATCCCGGTCTCGACCTATGACGAGCCAGGCCATTTGTGAGAGTGCACGGCACCCCGCGATCGCCAGGTTGATGCTGGAGGGGTCCAACCTTGACGTGTGGGGAGCTTGGTCGACTCAGGAGAACGTCGCTGTCCAACCCAATATGATTATGGACGGAGAACGCCGAGATTAAAGCGAACAGACGGTGCTCTCGCTTGGACGGCAATGCCACGACTGGTCCAGCATTTCCCTCGGCTGTGCACACACACAGGCGAAGAGGGTCGATTCGCGCTGGCTAGGGACGGCCAAATACAGCGATAGAAATGGACGAATCGAGTTCCTCGTATTGCCGTCGCCTCATTGCCCACGATCAGGGCCAGATTTCCGACACCCCAGCTTCTCCAGTCTTTCGCTCGTCAAATATTGTATCGTCGCCGCGTCCGTGTGATTTGCGACCCATATTCCTCACCTTTACGGTAATCTACCCGTTCCACAGTATACCACCTCATCCGAAATGCGACTGGCACCAGGGGTTAGACACCACTTCCCCAGGGGGACGGTCCGCCGCTCTCTGGTTCTTCGGTGAGAACGTAAGCCTGTGAGCTATCTCGTCCGTCGTCAATCTCTAGGAGCGGTGCAGTCCTTCTGCTCGTCGCCGAGAAAAGTGTCCAGTGCCGGTCCAACGGATCCCCGACATCTTCCAGCTGTTGCGATATGAAGCTTAGCCGACTACTCTATGATAAGGATTATGGAAAATGTCACGGAATCATTCCGCATACGTGGAAATGATAGGGAAGCTTCTAGTATATTACCTACTTTCGGAGGAAGTAGAATACTGTAACAAGAATAAACAATCAATGCTTCCACTGCTGTTCTGTAATTCAAAACACCAGCGAGTCTGCCACCCCCGATGCTGTGGCATCAGCATCTCACCAGGCTTCGGGCCCCAAAACCAGATCCCCATGAATAATTGGAAGAAGGGGTCTTACAGCTTTGAACCCTGTCACCCCACTCTAGGGGTCGTGGATTGCCGACCGCCCGCTCACCCGAGGAAAGTTTTCAGCAATTTGATTCCGGATGCAGTCCTTGAAAATGGGGGACCGGGAGTCACAACTTCCAAAGCACGCACTCGCAGGGGTGAAAAATATGGCCGGGATCACGTCACATAGCGAGCATGTCCGGTACGGTTCCTGGCGAAAATCTAAGGTCTCCCGTGAAAAGAGGAAATCGCGCTTAAGACGCCTGTCTTAGTGACGTGGGTTCATGTGTTCGTCCCGACTCTTTGGAGTGGACAGGAATTGATGGGTCGTCAGTCTCGAGTGGCCATCTTTGTGGCTTGATAAAGGTCTATGCGCATCCTCCATCGTTCGGCCCCTCCACCTCTCTCGAGGATGTCGCCATGCCTCGCGGAAAATCATTGGTACCGCACGTACAAGGATGTCATCGGGCACAACCAGTCACTCGTGGCTGGTTTCGCCGTCCACGAGTGCGTCTCTCCTCAGACCCCTTGGCGATCCCGGCACATCGTGTCCCATTAATGAGCCCAGTGGCTAATCGGGGCATAGGTCCGGGGCGATCTCCATCCACGAAGACGGGTGTATCCGACTATGGATGTGGGGTGCCGAACAGGCGGTGGCGCAGCTGGCCTTGTCTGCCCAGACCGATGTCCCACGGTGTGCGGTGCTCCACGACACGTCCTTCTCACTGGGCTGGGCCGGGGGCTGGGTTTCTCAACACGTGTGGCGGTCACCCACGGGACAGGTGGTGCCCCAAGATGAATTGTGCCTTGATGCCTGGTGTGTCCCGCTATTTTCCGCCGCCGTGGTGCACCTGGCCGCGTTCCGGGACCATTTGATCGTCTGTGGAGAACGTGACCTGGTCATCCTCGACCGCGAGAGCGGAGGGCGGCGACGATGCGTGAGGGACATCCCGCCGTTCCCGATTTCGGTGCGTCTTTGCCACGCACGGGTTGTGGACCTGGGAGACGCACCACACTTGGTAGCCGTGGGCATCGACACGAGAAAACAACTCTTCGTGCTCTGGACCCCATGGTCAGGGATCCTAACATCCCAGTCTGAGTGGCGAGATTATGGAGATGGAAACTCACCGTGGGATCGCTCTGGTAGGTTCACGAGGCGACACGAAGTGATGGCTGTCCGAGAGATCACCTCTCAGGGTCAAATCATCATGGTGTCCTGTACGGGACGGTGGTGGGTCTACGAGCTCCACACCGCACGGGTCACGCAGTGGAGCGCCGGCCCCGATCCCACATATCAGCGCTTCGCGAGCAGCGCGTCCCCCGCCCTGGTGGCCCTGACCCATGAGCGAGAGGCCCAGACCCGGGGATTGTTTTTCGGAACCTCTCCCGGACTATCCCACGGCGAACTCTGGCCGCGGTCCCCGAGCTCGCGTGCCCTCGAAGGGATTCCCGTGGTCCCCTTTGAGTCCTCCTTCCCAGGCCGCCTTCCCTCGGAGGTGTGGAGAACCATCGTGAGGCGGGTGAGCGTGTCCGGCATCTGGAGTCGTCTGGGATTTACTGATCGGGTGTCATAGATTTGCATCGACGACCTAGGCTCCCTCATGCGGGTCTGCCACTCGCTGCGCGACATCGGTCGTGCCCACCGAGTAGGTGGCGCTTGTACCGTTCACAACTCGACCAGGATCCAGGCCCCGGACCGTTTCGTCCTCTCCCAGCCAGGTTGCGCGAGGCATCTCAAGGTTGAGGTGATCGAGGATTCTATCTCCTCATACCACCTATGGATCAATGAATTAGTCACCACGATCACTGCAATGCCCTGCCTGCGAACACTCCAGTAAGTGCCATAGGCCTGCCTCTAGCGGACTCGTTGCGTCAGCTGACCATGCGTGCGGGACAGTCTCGATCAAGAGATCGTCCTTCCCTCGTGTGAATGGGCTCGTTTGGACTTCCCTCAGGGACTTTGCACCTCAATTGATAACCTTCCACGCCTCTCCGAACTGCGAGTGAGACATTTAATGCTGCAGCCGTTTCGCCGGGTGAGACTCGCCTACGGTGTATACGATAGCTTCCCCCCATCAATCCGTACCCTGAATCTGGACTTCCGTGGGGGTATCACTAGGCGTGAAGCGCCCCACCTCAACCTCGACGACCTGCCACGCCTGGAGCGGCTGACCATCCTGGGTCGGCCGAATCGGGGCGCCAGGGACTCTGGGGTTCTGATCCTGGCCACACAGCCACATCCCCGCTTAGCCTTCCTCAGGGTTTGCGGATTCGCCATGAGCCTAGATTGGCTCTATTTTGTTCGACAGAGCCTGCGACATATAGTTGCATCGGGGATGAGCCGCAGTGATCTCCCCAAGCAAACGTTGACGCTAGAGCGAGTAGAGGTCGTCGAGCTGTTCCACTGTGGCGACTCTGGTGAACCTGATTTCCTGGCCACGATGCGACAAAGGCTCCTCATTCCGGGAATGCGGTACTTCTCCATGTCTGCAGACAACAGAGAGGCGTTGGGACAGGCGGTGTCATTCGTCCACGGCTGCCACCTAGAAGCGCTGGCGCTGCACCTTCTCAAGGGAGGATATCTGTGTGACACCAACCCCATCTACTCCGCCGTCGATCAGAGTCGAAGGGAGACAGGGTTCCCCCGACGTTGCCTGATCCATGGACTGGTGAGGAAGCCCTCGCATCATCACAACACGCCGAATTTCCACATCGCAGTAGATCTATGTTCCACCAGCCTCGAGGGTTGGACCCACCCCATGCTCTTCAAAGAGGAGGCCCGAGCAAGGCGCGTTCGATTGTTGCTTCAGGTCGATCCAGAGAAACAACTTTTTGAGAGGGAGGAACTCGAACGCTGGGCGCCGTCGGCTGATGGCACGTACCCACCCGCTCCGGCCGCTGGCTCTGCCTGCCCCGATTGGGAGCGACTGGTTACCTTCTCATCGAGTGGTCCCGGTGGTTAAGAGCACATGACTTCGTGCCACCGAGCGTCCCGTCGACAGAGACCCCGGCGCTCGTGGCTCACGCACCCGCCCATTGGGTTGGCTAGGGGTGAGAGGCGGCTTTCACCCGGGAGGGCAGGGCTACGCATAGCACACGGTGTTCTGGGGAAACGCCCCTAGGCGTTCTGGCGATCGCGCGACCACGCTCAACGGAGGACCGACGTCAATAGACGAAACAATGACCAGACACCCAGGTACGGCTCCAGTGCTTAGCGGGGTTGGGCAACCCTTAAAGAACCATTAAATAAAATGGCATGCCCCATCTACCTGAAAGGACGGTCCCTCACATCGTTCTCTTGGAATGTAGTACGCATCTCGAAACATCCCAGTGCCACGAATGGCCACAACACGCAAGGCTTAACAAAACTTTACATTTTTGGTCTCTGTGGGGATGTGTCTCAGCTAGTCACTAGTCCTAACTTCCGACAATTTGTAGGACGTGAAAGCTGGAATTGAGGACAAGACAAAATCCTTCGGCCACATCACGATGGATCCGAACAGGTTGTGTGTTGACTGGCCGTGGTTGACAAAACGTAGCTTAGTAGCTGTTATGAAGTGGCTAGCCGATCGTCGAAACACACGATGGTTACGCATCATCGACAATTATAACGAGTCTTGGCCATTTGATTTCGGGATAGACCGCTTACACGGCTCTTGGATCTTCACGACACAGACTCACTCGCTAAACAATATGACGAATATAATTATACGGCCTTCCAAGCACGCCAAGGAGAGTCTAGCTATCCTGAAGGCGTCTTCCTGTGGGAAGAGAGCATCGACGGAGGTGAGTCCCCTCAAGTGGAAAGTCCAGGACTACACGCTCATCGTTTATGTTTAGATCCTGGCGCTTGCCGGCGGTCTCCCATTGGCGTTGGTGAATGCTGGAAGTTATTTGCAAGTTTCTCATGGAAGTTGCGAAGACTACCTAGAGCAGTAAGAAACAGTGTTGACAGTAGGCAAAGGTATTCAAAACCGGCCGGAAGCATTGCTCAGATAGCCCTGATTCACACCGTCGCCCACCTTTACCGTCAAGACCATCATCCTCGACGAGGCCCATCCGACAAAGGGGATGGAGCATAAGCACCGAGGTCATGGTGCGAGCGTCGGCAGGGTCTGGGACGAAATCAGGTATCCCTTGGTCAGGGTATGGAAGTTACTTTATAGTCATAGCCAGTGCAGTGAGCATCACGTGACCATAGATCCAACCAGAACAGATATTAGGATTGTAAAGGCACGCGGGCGCTATGTCATAATCATTGAGGATCCAGGAAGAGGGGTTACTGTGCATCTTCATCTCTTTACCGGGGCAGGCTAGACCGGTGCACTGGCAATTGCCCTTCGCCGATTCCTTTTCCTCTCCTTTTGCTCACGGCGCGGTCGTATTCGGCCTTATGCGCTACCTCCGTCGTGCAGAGTTAATATACAATCCAATGTAGGGTAGGATCCTCCTTTATGTCGTAGTTTCAGACTCTTCTTCACCCCCGAAAACAGGCATGACTGTGGCAGGACAGGTAAAAGCCAATACTTCGAATTGTACCTCGACGCGCAGTTCTCGATTTTCGCAGCTAGAGAAACTTAAGAAAACCTAGTGTCACATGACAACCTAGGTACCCCTGCCATTTTACCACTACTACTGCTTGCTACGGAGTACATACTGAGTGCTAGTGTTTTAAAGACTGGAAGGGACATCCCAGCAAGAGACATCCCAGCGAGAGACATCCCAGTAAGAGACATCCCAGCGAGAGACATCCCAGCAAGAGCCATCCCAGCGAGAGACAT